CTCTAATGATCAGAAAACAAATGAAATGAAATCACCAGACCTATCCTAAGCAAGCTAAAGACAAATAATTTCCCCAGGGCAATCACAAGAGCAAACTTGATTTCCTGGTCTGTCACTGTCTTCAGGGCATGAAATGGTGATATGATGACAATTATGGCATTTTCCTCAGAGGAGGTGAGCATCCCTACAGAGGCAGCTTTTGGAGGGCAGTGCATACTGGACACTCAGGACCCTTCCCCACTTGTCCTGCACCAACTCACTCAGGCCCTGGCTGCTTCTTCTCAATGAAACTGAGGGCCTGTGAGTCTGGTACTAAATGACAAGGCACAGCTCACTCTAGGACAAATCTCATGGCAGGACTTAAATCTGCTGGAGAGACCACCAGGGGAAAAACGAAAACTTGTGCTGCCTTATACATCCCCACATTTCATTGCTTTTCTCTTAATTTCATTCACTTTTCCTGTAGCAACCCTTCACATGGCAAGCAAGATGCCAGGATTTTATAGGTGTACATACTGTAGACTTCATTTCCTGAAGTTACCAAAGTGAAGAGGGAGAAAAAAATTTTTTAAAGGCTACTAAATATTCTGATATTTTTAGTTTCTTAAAATGTTTTGCAAATTTCCAGAGAGGAAAACATAATAGTGATTTAAAACGGGTTAGAAGACAATCACCCCCCTCACGGTAGGCATTCCCAATCCAGAAGATAATGAGGAAGGTGAGGACTGGAGAGAGATGCGGGTGCCTCCTCTCAGAACTTGGGGACTACAGAGGTGACGAGACAACATGCAACATGGCTGAGAATGGGTCTTCTGGGGACCCAGAAGAAGGCACCCTCAGCCCTGCAAAAGACTTCCCTGCTCTGTATGTTTGAATCTTTCTCAGACTGCAAGTCTCCTCTGGCACTGATGGGACATCCTTCTGAATCACTTTCTGACCATTCTGGTGTCGCTAGGGTCATAACAACATCATGGGAAACGGTGAACGACCAAGTGCAATGGAGCTGGATTTCAAATGTCGCAGTTTTACACGTGTAGGTGGATATGTATTCTACCATCTAGGATCGCAGCGCTTGCTTTCAATAGAAGAGAAAAAGAAGAGAGACTGCTTGATCTCTGAAAGAGACAGTAATGGCTGAGAGAGACCTTAACAGCTCATCTAATCCAATCCTCCACATTTAAGAATGATTAGCATTAAACCATGCCAGGCAATGAAAAAGCCTCCATCTTATAAACCTCCCTTAGAGTTTAGTGGAAAAATAAAAAGGACACTCATAGCACTGGTGGTGAGGAGAAGAAAATGGCAGCAAATTGTAAAAGACAAGCATGAGTTTAGAGCGCTCACATTTTACAGCTTCCAGGGATGGTTTCTACACCATGAGAGTCACCTATTGTAAATGTAAAAACAATGACTCTTTCCTTTTTCTTGAGGTGCTAGGGATTGAACCCAGGGCCTTGTGCATAGTAATCAAGCATGCTATCTTTAGGCTACACCCACTCCCCTAAAGTGCAATTGCTTTAATGATCACATTTAATTAATTTAAATGACTGTGGAACCATCCTGACAATCCGGTTTTAGAAAACTTCCATTACCCAGGAAAACTCCCTCAAGCCCATCGGTAGTCAATTTGTTCCAAGAAACCATCTCTATAGATTTTTGTTTTCTGGGCATTTCACATAAAAGGGAATAATAGTATGTGTAATGTGTAGCTTCTCTTAGGGATTCACCTCTGTCATAGCAATGTATGAATAGCTCATTCTTTATTTATTTTTTTTTAAATTTTTTGACACAGGGTCTCACTATGTAGTTGAGACTGACCTGGAACTCACTGTGTAGCCCAGGCTGGTCTCGAACTCTCAGCCTCCCAAGTACTGGGATTACAGGCGTGTGCCACCATGCCCGGCTCATTCTTTATTATTGACTAGTATCCCAGTGTATGGATATATGTATCTTGTCTGTCCACTTGTTAATAAATACACATTTAGATTGTTTCCAGTTTGGGGCTGATATGAATAATGCTGCTCTAAATACCCATGCATAAGGCTTTTACATTTTCATTTCTCTTGAGTAGATTCATAAAAACAGATTTGCTGAGTTGTAATAATTTTGTGTTTAACCTCTTAAGAACATACCAAACTGTTCACCAAAGTGGCTATATGCATATCCCCCAGAAATGCAAGGGTTCCAGTTTTTCCACATTCTCATTTTCAGCCTGTTTATATCTTGGTATTTAAAGTGTGCCTCTCATGGACAGTATATACTCAAGTCTCGCTTTTTTAAATCCAATCTGATAATCTCTATCTTTTGAATAGGTATTTCATCCACTCATATTTAATGTAATTGTTGATATGGCTGCTAGATACACATCTCTCAGTCCTTATAGATCTGGAAATATATTTAACTTTCACATTTGAATTCAGTCTTGCTGTACATTAAATTCTTGGGTGACAGGTTTTTCTTTCAGCACGTGTCATCATACTGCCTCCTGGCTGCCACCGTCTTTGATGAGAAGTTGCCATTAATTGCATTGTTTTCCTTCACATATGCAAAATCTTTTTTTTTTCTTTTTTTCTTTTTCCTTCTTTTTGGTGCTTTTAAGATTTTTCTCTTTGTTTTCTAGCAGTGTTACTAGAATTTGTCTAGGTAAAGTTCTTTTTCATTATTGTGGCTTCTTGAACTCACTGAGTCTGTAAGTTAATTTTTTTTCATCAAATGCAGGCTTTCTGCCATTGTTTCTTCAGATAGTTTTTCTATCCCTATGTCCTCTTCTTTTGGGATTGTCATTCCACAAACACTGCTATCCTTCATCAACTACAGGTCTCTGAGGCTCTGTTCACATCCTTTCAACTTCTTTTTTAAAAAATCTTTCTTACTTAGATTGAAAAATTTATTTTGCTATACCTTCTGGTTCATCCACTCTGTCTTCTTCCATCTCAAATCTGTTGTTGAGTCTCTCTAGAGAATTTTCATTTCAGTCATTATATTCTTAGAATCCAGAATTTCCATTCCTACCTTTAAAAATGATTTATATCTCTTTATTGAATTCTATATTCACTGAGCCTTTAATCCTTTAAATGTGGGTGCCTTCCAATCTCTGAACATATTTAAGTACTTTTCAGTGCTTTTTGCCTAAATCTTATATCTATGGATAGACATTCACAGCTGGTCTCTATGGACTGTTCTTTTCCTGCACACGGGCCACATTCTGCTTCTCTAAATGTCTCTAATCTTTGGTTGAATTCTGGGCATTTAAGAGAATATGTGGCAGCAACTGGATTCTGATGTTTCCCACAAAAGCTGTTATTATTGTTTTGCTTATTTAGCAATTTTCTAAGACTAAGTCTGTGAAATCTGTCTTCCGAGTAAGGTACGCTGCTGATATCTGTACTAATTTTTTCCTTGTTTTTATTTCTAAGTGAATGCTAAGGGTCATCTCTATGTCTGAACAGTTTCACGTTCTGGCAAAGACTAGTCTAGGGTTTTGCTCAAACACCTCAAGCCAGAAAGGCTTCTCTTTGCCTGTGATTCTGCGTGTGGGCTGCAGAGCTTGTTCAAACTTCAGGCTGTGTTCGTGTCCACCTTGGCCTTTGCTTTCTGCTGCCGGCTGTCTCACATCTCCTGTGAGTGTGCACGCAGGAGTCACCGGCCAGGGGATGTGTGGGTGTCGTGGCCCTGCTCCATCTTCACAGCTCATGCACACAGACTAGATCAAGTTCAACCTGGGATATGTGAAGAGCTAGGAAGTCCCTAATGGCTCTCTCACCTCCCAGAACCACTTAAGTCACCAACAAGACCACTGGTCCATTGCTTGATCCAAGGAGGACTCCAAACTCAAGCTAGTGGAACTTTTGGCCTATCCTCCCCTTCTACCACCAATGAAGGGGCCCCTTCCGGAAGCAGCGGCAAGGTGTGGGTTCCACAGCCTGCTCTGCTCTGGCTGGACCATCACACTGACGAGCTGGCAGGAGGAGGGAATAGGGCACAAAGACAAGCATATCGCGAAACCTTTCAGCTCCTACCCAAAGCTCAGTAGTTTCTATGAACAGATGCTTCTGAGGCTGTTTTATGCCTGTAATTCATTTTCAGAGTATGGAAACGAATGCTGTGGACAGACTTTTTCCAGATTTCTAGTTGGTTTTGGAGAACAGATTTTGTCAACCTCTTCGCTCTCTCATTCTAGAAATCAATTATCTCAAGCGTTTTTACATTGTGCTGGAACCAGAATTATTAATGCTATTAAAAGTAGACCATGTAGGTGAAAATATCACTATTGAATCTTATTTCCAAAGAAAAATGTGTGGTTCCCCCCCACACCATGAGTGAAGGCACAAGTTTCAATGATTATTTCATTAGATGAAATTGACTGGGAAATCTCACTTCTCAGAAGCAACACCTCTGGCCCTGGGCCTTGCTCCTTCAAGGTGACACAAGGAATGGATGTGAGGGATATAAAGCCCACGCATTTGCATTCCAACAGTGCTGCTAGTCTACTCCTGTCCTTTCGCAGTTCCTCCACCTTTCTTTTATTCTGCTTCATCCATGGTCATTCAGACACACACTGGGCATTCTTGTAACCATCCCTCTTCTGAAGGCTCCATCCAAGCCTTCCAACCCAGACATTTCTGCAATTTTTCCTTCCTCTCTCAGCCCAGGCAGGCTGAGTCTTCTTGTGTAAGTCACTTGAGCTCTGGACACCCCCAGGAAGGAATAAGAACTGCCCTGGGCACCTGGAAGTCCAGTCCTAAGGGCTAGAGAAGGCTCAAGGGATCATTTAGAAAAAGCTCTCATTTTCAGACAGGTAAATGAAGCCTCATGGAAGTTAAGGGGGCTAACCTGGTCATCTCCTGATAATGCTGAAATATGCCATGCTGAGCAAACAGGGAGAAGGCCTCAGGAACTGCTTCCTGAGTTAGGCGAATGATCAGGCTGAGGGCAGGTGACTGAGGACACCACCACGCACACCCCAGACAGAGCTCTCCTTGCCCACCCCTCTCTCTTACCTTAGCCAAGAAGATCCAGGCTGCACACTGCCCAGGGGCCATGAGGCTCTGCAGCTTTACTGTGCTGAGCATGAGCAGGAAGCCGAGAACCCCACTGGAAGGAGAAGACACTGTCTAATTAGTAGGCTGTCTTCCCTTGGTCATCAGCTCACTAGTTTCCATTCCATTCTTTTTTCTTTTTGGTACTGGGGATTGAACTCAGGACCTTGTACTTGAGAGGCAGGTGGCAGAACCACTGAGCTGAATCCCCAGCCCTAGTTTCCATTCCATTCTACTAGTCAAGTTCTGATGATTCACATCTGTGTTTCCTAGTCATCTCTGGGTAAAAATAGCCAAGACTGGGCCAGGGATTTAGCTCAGTGGTGCCACCACCTGCCTGGAAAGCACATGCTCCTGAGTTTAATTCCCAGGAACCCCCCCACCATCCCCCAAAAGCTAAGACTTAGAAACCCACGAAGCTTTACTTTGCTAAGGAGCCAGGATGAGCACATTTCATTGCAAGGATAGAAGGCAGAAATTTAAGAGGTCTCTGGCTAAATCACAAAAACACAAAACATAGATGATAATTAGCTGTAGAGCTTGGTGCTTGTCAAGGAAGGATCTAATTTCATTTAAGCAAAACAAACTGGCAGGTAAGGTTTCCAGTTCTCTGTGCCAGAAAAGGTCTGGACAGAGCCCTGGACTGAAGGGAGGGCTGCTTCCAGCAACACTGGCTGAGGCCACAAGTCCCTGGCCAGGCCATCCTCCACAGAAACCTCACGTGACACCAGGCACCTGCGTGGGAAGGGAAAGAGCCCAGCAGCAGGAGCCTGGGGCCACTCAGAGGTCTGGATCACACAGGCATCGCACCACAGGCGACAAGGAGGCAGTGCCTGTGCTGCAACCACTTTCCAGAGTGTCACCGTCCTCGTGTAGGAGACAGGAAAACTGCAGAAGAGATGAGGCAGAAAGACTGCAGGACAGAGACGCAGGTGGACTGGCTTCTTGCGCAGATGTGCAGGTAGTGGACTGCGTGTAACTTTTGTTGGAACAAAGTGGGAGAGTAAGGGAGGTGACTGTTCTCCAAGCCGGAGAGGGGGTCACGTGCGCTGTACTTCATTTCTACCCCCAGAGATTGGCACCGCACTTCCCTCTGACCTTTATTACAGTCGCTGGTGTGTGGTCCCAATGGATCACAGCTGAGCGGGAAGGGCAGGTCTTGGGCTGCTCGCTGCATTTGCCCCCAAAGGAGCTAACACAGTGGTTTGTTCATAGCAGGTATTAAGTAAATGTCAGGTTGCACTGCAAGCTGGGTGAACTGAATCAAACACAGCTGGGGCCAAATTTCAGAAATGCAACGGATGAGCCTGGTTTCACAGCCACATTCTTGGCATCAGGTTCTCCCAGTGACCTGTAAAGTTATTCACATTTGTGTCTGCAGTCGTGGCAGGCTGGAAGGCTGCAGACGGAGGCAGCAAGTCCTACACCCCAAAGGCAAAGAGGCCTGTGGGTAAGCAGCTCTCTCACCAATCGGATCAGTCTGCAGTCCTACTCTCAGCTGTGCTCACCGACCCGGTGACCTTGACCTAATCTCTGCCGCCCCTCCTTTACCTAAGCGGAATAGGCAAAACAGTCCTCATCCTGTCTTACAGGACCCAGAGACTTAGTTCCAAAGTTTTCCTTTTTTAACAAGGAAACTGAGGCCCAGGTACAGTTAGAAGCCAGTTTTCCATGGCTCTTGAAACCTCACCAAGTTCATGAGTCCTTGACCAGCTAGAGTGAGATGCCCTGCTTGACCACAGAGCGAGGGCAGGGTAAAGCGAGGCAGCAGTGCCCCAGAGCTCCCCTTTGCTGGACCCACCCCCGCATCCGAGGAGGTAACCACACCCCAAGTGCTGCCCAGGCTCACAAACCTCCTTGCCCTCCGTTCTTCGCCTCCCTGCTCCCTCCCCTTCCTGCCAGGAGACACTAGTTCCAGTTTGAAACCAAGGAGCTGAGAGAAGCGGCCAGGACTCTCTCCCATTGCCTGGCTTGTTAGGCTGTGAACCATTTTGGCATCGTCACAGCTCTTTCTCCTTCCACTTTCAGCCCTCCCACCACCTGCTAGGGAGGTAGCTCTGAAAAGCACAGGAAGGACCACTGGAGCAAAGGAGCCTGGGAACAAGAGATACCCTGTTTGTGGGGAGTCCCTAGATTCTGGCTCCTTTGTCAACCTCAGGTCTCCATGATTCCTGCTAGGCTCCCCTAAAACCACCTGAAGGTGTCACCTCAGAGTACAGCCATGGAAGAGCCACTGAAATGATATGGGAAAACTGGACACATTTCAAAAGAGGTTACACTTTATACTGAAGCCAAGAAGCAGGGGTAATGTGAAATACAGAGTTTAATCAGTTCAAGCAAGGATGTCCAAGTCTTTAAAGTAAAAAGGCCTGGTTTATCATGTTGGGTTCTAAGAAAGCTGTGGATCAAGAGGGGCAGAAATAAAGCCACAATATCACTATATCAACCCACAAAACCAACACCTATGAGCTACCCAAACAGTTGCTGACCTTCCCTCCATACCTGCCTGTTGGTGCCACCAAATAATCACGTTCAAAGGGAAACAGACCCCAGGCCCCAGAGCAGCGCTAGGACTCCTGATGTGGAACCCCAGCTAAGGGCAGGCAAACCAGCCTCACCAAAGTGACAGAAGCAGGAGGACACAGCCCATTAGTGCTTTCCTGAAACTCTCTGAGTGATAAATAAAAGCATTTGGAGGCTCACATGCAGAAAACTCTGTAATACGGCATCTTTTTCCCCCTTTGCCCTGAACACCTGAGGCGCGCATGACATACCCCACAAGAAACCCTACCTCCCACTTCTCCATAAAGACTCACTGCTTCACAGGGTACCCTTTATTGTGTGTGAACGGAGTAATTACAGTGGATCTGAGCAGGTAGTAATACTGGCCACCATTACTGGGCCAGGCACAACACTTAAGACTTTATATACATATTTGATTTGAGGCAAACAATAACCCTCCATTGGTACTATTTTTCTATTTTACAGACTTTACACATTTAGCAGCAGCAATCCTGGGATTCAACCCAGGTCTGCTCTACCACATCAGAATGCAAGCTGTTGGTTTGTTTTTGAGACAGGGTCTCACTATGTAATTCAAGCTGGCCTTGGGCTCACTATGTAGCCCATACTGGCCACAAACTCCTACCGTTCCTCCTGCTTCAGCCTCCCAAGTGCTGGGATTACCGGCATGTGCCATCACACCTAGCTTCGTTTCATCAGTTTTATACACTGAAGTTCTGAAATTTGCTTGTGGAGAGACTAGAACTGGGGGAAGCCACTTGCTCAGTAAGTTTGAGAACCACCACCTGTGGGCAGGCCAGGGATGCTCACTGTACCCAGGCTGACCCTGAGCACTCATAGGTGTCCGGTGAAACCTGCTGGGGACAGGAACTGTTTCCCAGCCACATCAGCCACCGCTGGGCTTTGCCACTCATTCGGGTCATTGGTAATGACCGTGGACTTCACAGAGACAGAGACATGGAGGGACACTGGAATGGCATGCTCAAGGTTACCTGGCACAGCAGCTGCCGTGGAATCTGTAGAAATACAGGAACGGGAAGTCCAGGACGCTGAAGAGGTCACCTGCAGAGCACAGCCATGATATGACAATGGGTCCCTCTGTACCCCATGGGCCCCTGCACCCACTGTCCTGAGAAACCAAGGCGAGGGTGTGTGGCACAGCAGCCCTCCACCAATGAGCTGTCTCGCACTGGATTTGCCAGGGACAATGCCATTGGCAGTGCTGTTTAATACAAACCTCATAATAATAATGCCTGTCTAGTGACAGCCTGCCTTAAGCAGGGACCTCTGCTAAGCGCTTTATGCCTTCATCACCCTGTTTCCACAACTGTGAGGCTCTGTTGTCCCCATTTAAACTGGAGCTCAGGGAAGAGAGGGTACAAAAGATTGCATAAGTCTTGAACCACAAAGACAGAATGTGTACCCCAGTCACTCCAGACCCGCCTCCTTGCCCCAGGAACAATGTGGGGGCAGCGGGGTCTTCTTTTAGGATTTTTTTTTTTTGGCCTATGTCTAAAAAAAGAACATGAATGCATTCCCCTGACATCTTTTTTTCATTTTTGTGCTTAATTACTGCACAAACAGCACAGGGGCCAGACCCATTGTGCATATTCATTTTAGGGTAAGGTCCAAAGGGCACATTTATTTCTTGTGAAGTAAGATCATTCTTTTAGTTCCACTTGGTACAAGAGGAAATAATCACACATATTGGCTGCTTCCCTCTCTGGAATTTGAACTTGGTCACAAACAAGAAGTCAGGAGATTAAAAAAGCAGAAAGCCTTCCAAAAATATCCTGAGAAAAGGAATTAAGCATTTCTATAGCGGAGAGCTTAATCCTTCCAATGCGGAATTCCTGACACTCGGCAGGAGGCAGGAGCTCAGGATGCTGGGGCTTGGTTGTCTCTCAGTCCTGGTGGACTGCAGTTCCCTAAGCATCCTGGGTTGTAGGGTGTGGAGGGAGTGTAGGCGGTGTCCCCTTCCCTGCTATGACCACTAAGCATTCCGCTTCTGTACTTCCTGGGAGACTAAGTGACCTCAGGTGATTCACTCATGGAAAGGCAGTTCTGAGCTCTACTTCTCTGGAAAGTTATTTCTTATTGTGACTGTTATCTTTGGGTGTGTATGCATGTGTGTGCTCAGGGTTTCTCGGAATTTTGTTTTTGTGCAGCCCAGCATTCTTGTTCTCCTTGGGCCGTGATTCCACAGGAACTCTCTACATCTGATTGGGACCCATGGTGGTAGAGAGAACTCACAGACAGACGCTCTTGGACGCAGTTCCTGGGGCAGGGTGGTCCCTTTCCCCACAGAAGTAACAGCCAAGGTGACCCTGAGAACCTCAGGGTCGGGCGCCACTCGGGCATGCAGAAAGGACGCCTGCGAAGAATCTGTCTCCTGGGCAGCTCTTGGCTCCCCAGATGCCCTCCTCTCACCCTGACAGTGGTCAGGGTGACGATGAAGAATGGCAGAGGATGATCAGTTAGACCCTCGCCTTGGCACCCCATCTTTTAACAGAAAAACTCCAGGGTGTGAACTGCACTCACAGGGGTGCAGCAGCTTTTAAGAGTCCAGCCCAGGCTTTGGAGCCGCTGGAAGAGCAGAGGAACAGTTAGGGGTAGGTTGGAAGGGAGAGAGGCAAAGAACTCAAAGTCCTAGGGAATTCGCCAATCAGATCACAACTCCTACCCAAATCCCAAAAACTGATCCCGTAAATGACTGAGAAGGAGCATAGCCGGCCCGCACCCTTGAGCCATGCCTAAAACCTTTACACATCCCTCACACAGCACCTCGTTCACGGTGCCTTTCTCCCCGTCCCCGGAACTGCCAACTCCTTAGGGAAGCCGAGCTATTGCATTGCCCCTCTGGCCACTTTGTGAGCACTGAACCCAACATGTAGCCAACACTGCTAAACACAATGTATCCGAAAGACCTGAGTATTTCTTGCTCTCCTTGAAGAGAATGTTCCACGGTCTCTCACTGGCTGTGTGGTCCTCAATTTCCAGGTGGCCCCAAACATTTCCCCTTTTATATATTTATTCTGCCCTTCTCTTAGTAAAGTAGCACTATACCCAGCACTCAGGAGACTGAGGCATGAGCATCACAATGACTTTAAGGCCAACGTAGGCTACACAGTGTGTCCAGAGCTAGCCTGAACCACATACAAGACCCTGTTTCAAAAAACAAAACAAAACAAAAAGCACAATCAGGGTACACAGGAACTGCACAGCAAGAATGAGTGACTGTGGTAATTAAACTAAACCGTCAACTGGATGGGCTTAGGAGCCTCCTAGGGGGACAGTAAGCACACTTCTGGGTGTGTCTGGGTAGGTCATGAGGATGTGACCTTGGGGACGGTATCTGATCCCTCACCCCTCCCTCGCTGGCACTGTTCCCCTGCTCTGCTTCCCAAATGAACGCCATGAACTAAGCAGTTTTGTTCCACCTCGTTCTTGTACCATGATGCTTCTCTGCCTTGGAACCACTGACCATGGACTAAACCCCTTTAAAATGTGAGCCAAATTAAAGCTCTCCTTTAAATTGTGGTGTCCAGCATGGTGTTCCAGTAACAGGAAAGCTGGCCAGTTCAATGGCCCTGAGGAGGTTGCAGTGCTGTGCCTGACTGGCACATGAAACCTCAGCACAGGGCCATAAACACGGTAAAGATGCTCACAAGCCAACAGGTCACGTTGCACGCTGCTGCATCGAGCAAGTGGCCGAGGGCTGGCAACATGCTCAGTGGGCGATGTGAGGTCGATGCTCCGGCTTGAACTGCGCTGACTGAGGGAGGAAGGGACCACACTTCTCTGAGGGTTACAGAGCGTGGAAGGGCCACGCTGACAAGTGTGACACACTCCTGCCATGTTCCCGACTGGGACTTGAACGCTAGAGTGACTTCTTCTCACCACACTTGTGCCTTCGCCAGGGGCGGGAACGTGCAGGCGAGTGCTGCTTGCTTTGGCTCACACATGGGCACTGGGCAGCCCAGGTACCAAAGTCATCTCAGGGTCTCCCTGCTCCCCTGGTTCCTTGAAATTCTGTCCTGAACACTTCATATAAATATGGAGTACAAAATTTAAACACAGGAAGAATTCTCTTCTCTACTGCTCAAAAGTCCAAGGGGAAAGGAGCCGGAGGGGCCTTCTCAAGCAAGGCGTGGATTCTTGGAGCCTCCACACGAGTCATGAGGCCAAAGGACAGGAAGAGATTCCACCCACCCAGAGGCCAATCCCAGTGCCCAGGCCACACACCGCAAAGGTGCACCTTCAAGGGAGCCCAGGCCTCTAGTCCTCAAATGGGAGGAAGGAGGGAAGCTCAGGCAAAGGGCCACCTGGGGACCATTACTCAGCAGAAGAGCTCAAATGAGACAACCCACTAGACAGTGGTGAGGTTGCAGAGATACCAGAATCTCACACTGCCGGTGGGAGTGACCAGCGGCACAAACACTTTGAACTTTCTTAGAAAATTAAACGCGCTGTAATCCCAGCACTCAGGAGGCTGAGGCAGGAGGATCGCTGTGAGTTTGAGACCAGCCTGGGCTACACAGTGAGCTCCAGGTCAGTCTCAACTACATAGTGAGACCCTGTCTCAATGCCCCCCTCCACAAAAAAGAAAATTAAATGCAAATCAACTCTAAGGCCCAGTGATCCGGTTTTATCTGCTGCAACCTTATTATCACCACCACAAGCTAACATCACCAGGACCCATCGGAGTCCAGGGCCACTGACTCCCCAGCGTCTTCTAAATCTAAGCTCTGTCATCCCTCACACCAGATCGCCACCGTAATATCCATGTGCCTTCACTGTCTTCAAATGCAAGCACTTCCTTGTGCCTGAGTTGTGCACTTCACAACTTCGGGGGTTGGGGGGGCACCGTGGTGAGGGGCGAGGGTCAACCTGACTGGCTTTGGGATCTGCCCCAGGGACTGGCAGAGCACACTTCTGGCACTTAGAGGTGAGGCCCCTGGGAGGTGACCAGGATTGGGTAACATCATCTAATGATGCCTCTACTGAGGCAGGGGCCCCGTGGCTGGACACGGGCACCTTTCTAAGAGGGAAGGAGACCAAGAAAGACTCAGGATTTGCCAGCAAGAAAGACATCACCAGTTATGACCCTGTGACCTTGGACCATGACTGGAAGCCATACAAACCTCTTTTCTTTATAATTTACCCAGTCTGTGGACTTGTTATTCGCAAAGTGGAACTGTAAGACTTCAAGGCCTTTCAAAGTGAAAACAGCACGGTGCAGTGGAGCACTGTGAGTAACTCCCGAATCTGTGCAGCAGCTGTGGAGCAACTGAGCAGCAACAGTGTGAAATAAGCTCTACAGACTGACTTTACGCTAGAATTGTGAAAACCGGATGGTGACACGTAATGCAGGGGTTTATAAAATAAGGTCAGCTGGAAATAGGATGAATTTGGACTTTTCAGCAAATCCTTTAGCACCAGAACTACACAGCAATTCTGAACCCTTGCGGAAGGAATCTTTGAAAAGAGGGAAACAAGCACTAGTTTGCTCAGCAGGTGATGGACACTTCCGTATACCTGAGACAGAGATCACTAGAAGACGCGTGGGTATCAAAATTCAGGCAGAGTAAGAGTAAGCGCCTGGGCAGTAGATCCATGTCTTCTTTTTCGTTTTAATTTCTGGTGGTGCTGGGAATGGAACCCAGGCCCTCCCGCTCCACCACTGAGCTACAGACCAGCCTGCTCTAGTGAGTTATCAAAAGCACTGCACCTCTCCACGACCTCTCCACGACCACGTTCTCTTCTGGGTGTCTGCAGGGTTAGCACCAGGCCCAGAGCACTAGGCTGAATGGAGACTTTGAACTAACACACACTCTCTCTCCCTTTTTCTCTTCCTCCCTCTTTCTCACCCACCCCCTTTACCTGTGGGATGAGATGCCAATGCCAGGAGCACCACACTGAAGAAGAACAGCACAGTGGTTAGGAAATAATAAAACAAAGTGGTTAGGAATAATAAAACAAAGAGCATTAAAAACAAAAGCAAAAACAGAGTTTCAGCCATTCGACTTGTTTGTTTGTTTCAGGGTCTTGCTTTGTAATTCAGGCTGGCCTTGAACTATGTAGCTCAAGCTGGTCTCGAATTCCTGGCAATCCTCCTGCCTCAGCCTACTACCAAGTGCTGGGATCACTGGCTTGTGCCACACCTGGAAAGCCTTTCTACTTGGAAACAGTTAAATTCACCTGAAAACAAATTACCCACAGGGACTGGCCTCATCCTTTCAAAACCCAACTCCAGAGAGAAGAGGCCCTTGGGACATCCTGCTTTGGGGAAAAACAAAACACAAAAAAACTGAATCCAGCTGTGGGACCGACTGAGGGACTCCCATCCCACCTGCAGGTCACCTGTGCCACTGTTCTCGGCTCCAGCTGGCTCTGTTATCACATTCACCTAATTCTCCAAGAGTATTTGAAAGCTAGACAAAACAAACTCCCAACTTACAAATCAGTCACAATCTGAACGCATCTAAGTATATTATCACTGTAAAATGAACTGTGCAGAGCTCGGCGTGATGGCACACACCCATAGTCTCAGCATTTGGGAGGCTGAGGCAGGAAGATTATTGTGAGGTCAAGGCCAACCTGGTCCACACACAGAGTTCAAGTCTAGCCTAGACTACACAGTGAGACCCTGTCTCAAAAAAAGACAACAATAAAACACAGCTCACATGAGACGGAGACTGCAGGTGAACGCTTTGCATCTTGGTTTCTTTGGAACATACATAACCTGCACATGCTCCAGTTTTAGCGCCCTGGTTCTTCTTTTCATTACAACATCAGGAGCAGAAGTTACTGCTCTTGTCACAGAATAGGAGGAACCACTCTTCATCCCCCAAATAGCCCCTAAATCCTATCATCAGGATCACCCAGAGGGTGACTCTAAAATAAAAATTAGGGGTAACAATAAAAAGAAATCATTAAATCAAAGAGTTGGTTCTCATAAGCCCTATTTGGAATTTTGCAAGTATAGCTTTGCTGCTGTTGTTTTGAGACAGGGTCTCACTGTGTGGTTCTGGCTAGCCTGGAACTTGCAGCGAGCGATCTTCCCACCTGTCTGGCCGGGGCCTCTGGAGTGCTGGGATTACAGGCATGCACCACCACACCTGGCTGCTGGCTGCAGGTGCAGCTTAACCTGCCCCTAGTTCTTCCTCTTAGGCCTCCTTGGGAACAATGACATTGTATTCCTCTCTGGATTCCAGGGCTAGCAGTGTTGCTCAAACAGCAGGGGTTCACGGTGTGTTCTAACACTGCGCATTACCTCTAGGTGTATTTGTGGTGAGAAAACATTTGAAGAAAAAATATAATTTGAGGCCTCTATAGTTCTAAGGTTATAGATTACATGCAAACTCTAATGAGGAAGTTACTCTAATAAAAAGGTATACCCAGTCAGACAAACAGCAGATCGTTTTTAAATTCACTCATTCAGTAAACACTGAAAGCCTAGCATCTGTCAGGTATGGTTTTAATATCTGCGAAGACAGAATGAATAAAATAGAAGAGATCCCTATGGTCCCAGGAAATAGAACAGGAAAACATAATGATGTTATCCTCTCCACATGCTAAACTCTAGGACATTTTCTTGTTTCATGAAATGGTACCCAGAGAGAATGCCTATTTCCCTGTCATGCATGCACAAAATCTTATCTGCAAAATAAGGAGGTGGAGAATGGGCAAGCAGCATAATTTTCTACTGAACAGGCTGGGAGAGACCCAACTCTGCCTTCTATTAAAACGAAACGGTGTGTGCTTGTTCCAGAGCACATATACTAAAAAGGCACGGTATACAAGTGTGTGTGCTGATTTCACTCCTTATAAATGATGCAAGCTCCCAGAAGCAGAGTAAAACCATTCCAACCTCAGAAGTCCGACTTATTTTCAGCCCCACAAACATCCTTCCCCTTCCCTCTTTCCTTCATTCTTTGCCCCTACCTGTGCCCTACTCCTCTCTCTATATCAGAAACATTAGACAAAGTCAGCAGCAGGGAGCAAACAAACTAAATGGTCTAGAAGGGCCTGCCAAAGGCGAGAACCATCCTACTACATGTCTGCATCTCGCCAAATCCTGAGAGCACAGAGCAACTCCTCACCCTGACAGGCGGAGCTTCAGGCTGCCCAGGCAGGACATCGCTAAAGCTCAGCCAGCTGCAGGGTTCTGGGCGCCAGTGGGAGACAGAAGAGAGGCTCGTCCTGATTCACACCTCTTTATCACTCATATTGGAAGGAAAGCCTTGGGGCTTTAGCAGAGTGTGCTGCAATCAGGCAGGAAGTGAGAGCACTGGGCTCACCGCTTGGTGCATTACAAATAATCCTCACATCAGCTGCGGGAAGAAGACAGAGCAAGGACTGAGGGTCAGAGAGGCCCCTTCCCCAGAACCCTACTCCTCTGCTGTGTAATGCAGTTGTACCTTTTGTGCACATCTGCCTAGCAAGGCCCAATGTCTGGAAACGTTTTTTGTGAGCTGAGTGTGGTGGTGCACACCTATAATCCCTGCACTTAGGAAGCTGAGGCAGGAGGGTCAGCAAGAGTTTAAAACCCTCCAGGGCTACACAGTGAGACACTTTCTCAAAAAAAGAAACAAACAAACATTTATTTGTGGTGTGCGGGTTTTTGTTGTTTGGAAGGGGTCCTGAGCACGTTAGAAAGTACTCTGCCAACCACTGATCTTATGCCCCCAGCCCAACGGGCGTCCGCATTTTCAGAAACGTCCCTAGAGGGATCCGAGCAGAGTGGAACTAATGATTGTCTTCTGCTGAGGACAAAGGCGGCCCCAGCCATGCTTTGGGTGTCTTGTGTTTTGAAAGGCATTGTAATAAGTGCAGGATATTTCTGAGGCTTCCCTGCAGAGGGAGTGTATGGCTTGTAGTACTCGGTCTCAGTCCGGGTCTCCCTCGGGAATCAGCCGAGGCTCAGCCCAGACCTGGGTGCGCTTTAATAGCAGGCAGCCGGGGAACCTTGCTTCTCCAGCAGTGCACAGCTAAGGGAGACTGAAACCCAAGGATGATGCTGGCTCTTCTATTTAGAGAAGTCCAGAGGCCGTGTTTGAGTTATAAATTGGGCCACACAAGCAAGATGGTGATTCCAGACAGGAAGTATGGGCTTTTTCTGCCAGAGGAAACACTGTGGTTGCTGCCTGTTTTGCAAAAACCATTACTCTCTGGGAATGATTCTGATGAGGGATGATTCTGAGGATGAGACCTCGGTGAGTGAAGGCCTTCAGGGGAAGCAGCTAAAACACAGGCCACGAAATGGTCTCACTGTGATGACCAGGCTAAGCTTGAACTTGTGATCTTCCTGCTTCAGCCTCCTACAGAGCTAGGATTACGGGGTATAGCACCACACCCAGCTACCCTCACTTTTTTAGTGAAGAAAATTAAGGCACACACAAAAAAAGTTAAGCAAACTGGCCCCACAGCAAACTGGAAATTCAGAAGGCCCTTGCTGAAGAGTCCACTGTGTATGAATGTGACAGTATTTATGATGGGGCACAGAAAAAAGAAGGAAAGAAATCCCAAATTGCTTTAGGGAAAACATCGAAAGCCCAAGTACAGTATTTTCACTAAAAGCAGTTAAGATCTGGAGAAAAGAATGGAAAGGAAAATAGTGAGGAGAAATGAAAAAGTAGAATTTGATGGAAAAATGCATTTGTCATATCTGCTCATAAAAAAATAACTGCAGGAAGGAGCTGGAGAGGAAGAAAGAAAAGAGGGCTGAGCACTTCGGCACATTTGGGAGTAACCGAGGGGAAAGGGCACAGGGGACTTGGTTGGGCTTCGTGGGCCCTCGTTAAGTCAAGCAGCTGGTGAAGAGATTTCCAAATGCAGCTGTGTGAAGCTAGCTCTGTGACAAAGCAAGAGAAATCCAGGGGTCATCAAGAGGAAGTGAATTCAGAGAGCAGAAAACCCCAGAGGAAACGAGGGCTGGTGACGATGGTGGAAATGGAACAAAATAACGTGGACTGAGCAAGGGAAAAGGCAGGGGTGTTCCTGGACAGGCAACGGGACGATCACAAGGGAGGCGGGGAGGAGGAGGAGAGGCGGGAGCAGGAGGAGAGGAGCAAGGAAAGGAAGAGGCCATGAAAAGAAGGGAGGACACACAAGTAACGACACACACAGAGGCGGGAGGAACAAGAAGGGTTTGCGCTTCAGGGAGAAATCAACAGAGGCAGGCAGCTCGAACTCTAGGGCCAAGGATGAGCGTCTTGACCAGAAAGAGCCAGCAAGATGCAGAATGTGGTAAAGGACAAAGAGAGAAGCCCAGAGAGGCTTGGAAGCAGCACAGGGAGCAGACCAGACTCTGGGAAAGGCCAGCACAGGGCCGTGGGGCAGAGGCCAAGGCGTGGAGGAGTGGGAGGCTTGCAGGGGCCGTGGAGACACTGGTGTCTTTGCTTGGCCCAGCGAAGGCTGTGGGCTGGTTGGTAGCTACACTGGTGGGAAGGGGAGGAACTCCTGGTCTTGCTTCTGGGGGCCTAAAGAAATGTGCTGATAGTGGTTGTATTTTAAATATATTTTCAAAATTCATTTTTTAATTTAAGTTTCAATCGAAAGTTAGTCTTTTTATCTTGAATGTCCAGAAATGTATACATATACATACTGTATATATACACACACACACATAAACATATCTACATATAATATTTCTTTATCAAATCCACCTTCTTGGTTGTGTTCAAGAACCATAAGCATGTTGGGCATGGTGATCCTAGACTTGGGAGGCTGAGGCAAGAGGATCCCCAATAGTTCAAGACCAGCCTAGACTATGGTACATAGCGAGACTGTCTCAAAAGCAAACAGGGCTGGGGATTTAGCTCAGAGGCACTGCGCCAGCCTCACAAGTGCAAGGTCCTGAGTTCGATACCCAATACCAAGAAAAAAACAAACAAACAAAAAAGAACAAGTGCGCTAAATCTCTGTAGGTACTTAATGAGGAAAACCAGCTACTCTACAACCATTAAAAAGTAAACAGCTCTCCTAATGTTGCTTTTGTTGCAGTAGCTGTTTTGTTTTATAAATGTTGTACTTCAGATAAATATATGTAGCAATTTGAAAAATAGAAAAAAAAGTTACACTTTATGTTCTGAAATCTATGTAAAGTATAAGATGTTGACCATGCATCTTGTCTAAATAACGTTTCAGCACACAATGCAAATTTGGCTTAGATGAAAGTCAAAACAGTGCAAAAAGTCAAAAAGTGCCCACACTTTTAATCCATGCTTTTATCTGAAAGATAATTTTACTCATTTATGTCACACTTTCTCTTCTTCTTGTGTTGTTTAGTAAAATTCATTTTAATTTATAAGAAATCAAAGTCAAGCTTCAAACTTGATTGTACTTTAACAAATACCCCTTGAAAACACCCTGAAACCCAGGGTTTCGAGTTCTGGGAGTATTTGGGGCTTCATGTCAGAGGCAGCATGGGGAGCTCTTCTCTTCCTTCCCAGGCTCGGACAGAGAGGGAGCACATGGATGCCTCAGCCTTGGGCCACCTCTACCTCGGCCCCTCCCAGCAGTGACATCTCTTCTGCTATCCTAGGAACAACATGGGCAAATGGAACCTGGGAGGGCTGGAGCGGGGCTCAGGGCCACCTGATCAGATTCCAGGGAGCATCTAGAAGCCAGAGGGTTGGGCTGAAGCTTCCCTAAGTCCACGAGGGACAGGGGTGGCAGGGCCAGAGGTCAGGGCCAGAGCCCCTCTTTCCTGGTCTGAGGGCTGTGCCACTACAGTGGACCCCTGACACGAACTCAATTCATTCCCAAGGGCTGGTTGTAACTCGAGCTGGTCAGTGAAGGCTCAGGATCCTCTGCACAGCCTTCGGAGTCTCTCTCCTGTACACAGGCAGATCTCAGTGTCCTTGGAGAGATACTGGCCCAGATTTCCCAATGAACCCCACATGGGAAAGGGTATTGTAATGTTCCTTCTAGAACTCTTTAAGGTTTAAATCAGGGACCACCTGCAAGCACAAGTGGCCAGGTTGTAACTCGAGACTTTGTTCATAAGTTAAATCCAAAATTCTGGTCATAAGCCAAGTTGTTTAAATGTCAAGCTGGTTGTAACTCGAGGGTCCACTGTATTTGGCTGCCTCAATTCTGCTCATCTCACAAATTATTTAACTTGATTTCCTGGCAAGCCTATTTGTTCAGAGCTCTTTTAATCATAGTATTGGAAAATAAAAATTCATTACCTCCAAAAGAACTGTTTAACGTTGCTCTTTAAAAAACATTAAATTATATTTTACCTGAATATATAGTTTAAGTACTGCTGGTCAATATCACTAAGGAACCAGAAAGAAAAATGTAAGACATGAAATAACACAATGATTCTTAAATACATAAAGTAATCATTATCCTCTACAATAAATTCTATCTAAGTAAGTTACCACTGTCGTAAATTATCAATAAACAGGAGGGGGCCAGGGATGTAGCTCAGTGGTACTGTGCCTGCCTGGCAAGTGCAAGGTCCTGAGTTTGATCCACAGTACCCAATAAATAAATAAATAAACAAACAAACAGGAAGAATACTTTATATTCTAAACATTTCTAGGTTCTTTTTTAAACCGAGAATAAATTTTTAAAATATCTTTTCTATTTCTAAAAATTATTTTAAAATTTTTAACTTGTACATCATAATTGTACCCTGATTTGTTTCTTAAACAAACAGTGCTTACACATCCCACACATGTTCACCTGTGGCCAACTGCTTCCCACTGGCCATTTTCAAAGGACTGCAGATCTAGGCCACCAGCCTGGCTTCTAAAGTGACCATATTTAACAAAAAATAGAGGCAAATTCAAATAAATCTGAGTTTCAGCTAAACAGTAAAACTTTTAGCGTCCATTCTAAATATCACATTGGATATAAAATAAAATAATTATCTGCTGCTTACCTGAAATTCAAATGTAACTGGGCATCCTATATTTTAGACAACTTTCCTGGCTTTTTCATGCAAAAACACTTTATTAAAACAACAAAGGGATCTGGGTGGGGTGGCACACACCTGTTTTCCCAGCATGCTAGGAGGCTGAGGCAAGAGGATCTCAAATTTGAGCCCAACACAGGCAACTTATCAACTTAGCAAGTTTCTGCCTCAAAAAAAATTTGTTTTTAAAGATCTGGGGATGTAGTTCATTATGAAGGCCCTGGGTTCAAAATCCAATAATGAAAAAAATGTTTTAAAGCTCTGTCAAAGTTGATGTTTCTCAGAGCGCATGACCTCCCTTTCCATCGCGGGCCTTTGACAGCCCCCACAAACCCAGGCCAGTCTCGGGCCCTGACTGCCCAACTCCAGCTCAGCAGGTCATAGTGATTGTCTTTTTCTATCTACCTTTGCCAAGGTGGTTCTGTTTGCTGCACACAGTGAAGGCCTCATTTTACCGGAGAGCAGGCTAGAAGCCTGGGGATTCCTGGGTGTAAGCTGAGTCCCTCTGAGCTAGAGGTGGCCAGCCAGGGGCCCCAGCAGTGGACCACACACACACCCTGACACTCTCCTGTAGGAGGCTGCCCCAGATGAAGGGGGCCAGGCAGAAGTGGCCCAGCACCAAGAGCAGAGAGGGAGCTTAGAGTGCGGTCTGCACCCTGTCTCCACCAGACCTGTAGTCACACAGACCTCGCCTTCTTTAACCCACAAGCACACACACGCACGCACGGCATTAAGTGCTTACCTTGAGGTGCCAGGTTTCTGGGCCTGGCGTAGTATTTTATACGCCCCTGGAAATGAAGCAGCATGCACATCACCGATGTGTCCTGTGAAAGAGCTGCCTGCACTTGGCCCTTGGCCTGGGCACAACCAGGGCAAGGAACAGCAAACGGGGGTCTCAGGAGTGGGAACTCAGTGATCTTCCGGGGTGGGGCTGGCCAGTCCTCCAGGGGCCAGTGGAGAGGCCAGGCAGGCACAGCAGCCGGGACAACAGGTAGATTCCAGTCACAGGAAGGCTTTCTCTCCTGAGTGCCTCGCCCGGGCGAGAAATGCCGCGGGGGCTCTGACCTGAGCTGGCCTGTGCTAACAAAGACGGTGTGCCAAACACAGCGACAGCCTGCTGCCTCCCCCCCACGACTACAGCCAAGAGTCACTGAACTTGAGATTTCAAAGGACATCAGATGGTAACCAGCTACACTGTTTAATTTTGAGGGACAGATGACTGAAAGAGGTTTTCACATGACGTCCTAGATACCTTCCGTTTATATGAGCAGGAGCAGGAGCAGGCAAAACCCAGGCCATCATGGAAAAGAGGAAATTATATAGGAAATGGAAATATTTGAGGAAAAACTCCACAAAGAAAAGCCAACCCAGAAAATGCCCATCTCATTTTAACACTTTTTTTTTCTTTTTGGTACTGGAGATGGAACTCAGGTCCTTGTGCTTGCGAGGAAGGTGGTGGCACCACTGAGCTAAATCCCCAGCCCTCATTTTAACTTGTTTTAATTAATTTTCTTATGTTAGGGTTACTGAAAAGTGGATATAGAATAAAGACTAAATAACAAATCTTAATTATTTAAGTAAGCATTTTTTCAAACTTACCTATGCAGAGACAGGTGGTGGCACCACTGAGCTAAATCCCCAGCCCTCATTTTAACTTGTTTTAATTTAACTTGTTTTAATTTTCTTATGTTAGGGTTACTGAAAAGTGGATATAGAGTAAAGACTAAATAACAAATCTTAATTATTTAAGTAAGCATTTTTTCAAACTTACCTATGCAGAGTAAGTGAATTACAGCCCAAAAATATCCCTCTGGATCAAACTGCAATGTAGGATTAAAAAAAGAAAAAACGGGTTTTACAAAATGGCTGGATGTACAGACAAGCAGGACCCAGTGTGGTGACAGAAACCCGAGTCAGCTCCACACTGTGCCTGGGCCTCGCCAGCAGTCAGGGTCTCCTGGTTCCTGACACAGGAGCCCACAGCCTTCTCCTAAGAGGATTCTGCCCCCAGCACCCTGCTCCCCAGCCTGCACCCACACGGCCTGCAAACAGACTCAGAACAGGAGACAGATCATTTGCAAGTGAGAAAGGCACCATGAGGTGGAGGGGGCAAGGTAAGGGGTGGAAAAAGAACTAAGAGTGTTACGTACGTAGATTAACTCCCCACCATGAAGTTAACTGTGAACTGCAACAAGCACTAATAGAAATAAAAACTAAAGCCTAAAACAAACAAATGCAAACTCATGGCACCCAAGAACCTCCATGACAACCCCCACCAACCCCTCCAAGTGCATCTACAGACCCAGCACAAAACAAGAATGACCTGCATTTCCCTAAGCGTGAAGGCTTTGCCCCACAATCCAGCTGAAGGGACTCCTCTTCTCCTTACTCTCCAAAGGACTATCATCTGATACACCCTAAAGTTTCTTTATTCTTTATCTGTTTCCACTGCCACCTGCTCTCCACTAGATTATAAATTCCAAGAGAGCAGGAATTCGAACTAGGTAGACACAAAGTAGGTGCTCAATTAAACTAAATCCCGGAATACTCACGACCCTCCCCCATGCTGGCTTTGCCTGCTCCCTCCTCCTGGCCAGCTCCTGTTCTCTTCCAGATTTGGGTCCATTAAAGGACATCTGGGTCACAGCCCCAATCCTCACTCGGTCTTCAGCTGCTGACCTTGAGGGCCTCACTATTCTTTAGCTATAAAATGGAGATAATAATATTCCCTGCCCCTACAGAGTCGCTGTGAGATTTTAAATAAAACAGGGCACATAAAGTACCGGCAGAGAGCCCGGCCCGCGGCAGGATTCCTGTAATCACTAGCTGCCCCTTCCTGTCCGAGCCTCCTTAGGTGCAGGCCCGTTCTGCCCCGAACCAGCCCTGACTCCCCGCAGGGCCGACCTGTTGGCTGGTCTCTTTCCTCCGCACCGTTCTAAATAGATGCCGACTTCTGCCAGCACAAGGACGGCTCTTTGTGCCCGCAGAGCCTGGCTCGGTGCCTGGCACTTGGGTGACTTCAGGACGCAGGGGAAGAACGGGAGGGAGGGAGAAAAGAAAGAAAAAACTGTTTGTAAAATGACTACACAGCTGGGGGTGTCATCTGAAGGATGACCACATTGTGCAGGAAAACCACATTGCCACCGGAGAATACTGTGACAATCGTTCCCCAGCAGAGGCCCCAGGGATTCCAGGGACAATGATTTGGGCTCAGTGCCCGAGGCTGGGGACAGAGGAGCAGGCACACAGGGTCGCCGGGCAGGTGCCCAGGGCACTGAGAGCTGGAGGCGGCTCTGCCAGCTGCCCAGATGCTGGTGGCCAGGGAAGCTGTGCACATGCGCAAGGCTTCAGCTCGGAGAGCCACTGTATAGGCGCAGCACATTCCCGGACTTACCTGGGGATCGTTGAAGGGAAGGCACCCAGCAGCGGCCAGGAGGAAGAGGGCACTGTGGACAGACAGATAAAAAGCCTCACTTTCAACATCAAAGCGCATCCCAGAGAGTGCAGAGACGGAGGAGACCATCCGGGGGCCCAGAACCTCACTACCCAGGGCGTCTTCAAAGTCTTTTTTCCCTCTGCTGCTGGGCTGGCCGATCCCAGAGTCCGACACCTGCCGGATCCTCGAAGCCAAGGCTGGCCGGTCAGGAAGGCTGTACGCTGTCTGGTGTCTAAGGACCAGAGGGTTTCCAACCCCCCCTCAGCAAAAACACCAGTGGCAAACTGGGCATCACATCAAAATCGTGCCAGTTATAAAAAGGAAGACACATTCAAATCCTTGACGCACCCTCTTAACCAAGTGACCGAACTCAGTGGCTCCAAGGAGGGACAAAGCCACCATCACACCCTCCTGCCAGGACGCAACTGGTGCACACGCTGATGTTCCTGTCAACAGCGGAGCCTGCACCCCACTGGGAGGAAGCGCTGAGACCGGTCCAAACTTGGGGACAGTCCACAAAGCGACAGGTGGCACTTCAAAATGTGAAGGCAGCCAGGCATGGTGGCGCACACCTGTAATCCCAGCACTCAGGAGACAGAGGCAGGAGGGTCACTGTGAGTTCCAGGCCAGCTTGGGCTATACTGTGAGTTCAAGGGCAGCCTGAACAACATAGCAAGACCTGACTCAAAAAAACAAAAAATATTCACACGGACATATTTACAAATGAAACGCTGTGAAGTCATACTGAAGAGAGGCAGTGGGTGGGTCCCTAAGTAGAAAAACTGCTGAAGCTGAAAGAGGGCATCTGCCTGGCATTGTATTTTTCTGTCTACTTCTACATGTGTTTGGTAATTTCCACAGTACAGTGTTTTCTAAAAATTCTTGCACAAAGGAAAAACACAGACATTGCCAATCGTGAATCTTTTTAGGAAGCTGTGCTTAACAGTCACAAAGCCCCTCTGGGTTGGTTCTCCCAGGGCTTCGCAAAGGAAAAGATCTGACCTACAGCTTCCCCCAGTCACTCTCTACTGCTCAACAAAAGCACCAGGAAGCACAAAATCTGAACCACCTCTTGTCCCTCCTCTTTCCGCATTACAAATGCAGTGATGTACACAGCGCCACCCCGCCATGGACCAATGCATCAGGCATGAACGGAAGCACCAAGCACAGCACTCTGGCTGTCACGGGGATTCTGTCACACGACACCTCATCCGATCCCAATTCTGTAATAAAGACCAACATGGTGGGCTGGGCTGGAGGCAGGACTAACATAAGGGCCCTGGGAGGGTGGGAAGGAGCGGGTGTGGCCTGAGGCTCACCTCCATCTCCAGCCTTCACAGACACTTCACCGACACACACACAGCCCAGAGGACAAGGCACAGCAGAGTGGGGTGAGCAGAGGCCAGACTCGGACTGCACAGCACCCGGCGGCTTCTAGGTGGGAACAGGGGAGACTCCCATGAGTCTGGGGTCCACCAGAGAGGAAGGCTTCCCGGAATACAGGGCGATCCGCATGCACAGGGGACGAGCACAGGGACCCCAGCAGACGGCCCTGTGGGATGGAGGACCAGGCTGAGGCCTGGCTCCCGCACACGTGACCTGCAGCAGTGCCTGGCTGCCCTGCATATTCATGGGATTCATGCCTCTGTGGCACCTGCAAATCCCCTTCAGAACAGGTGGATGAGTCCTGAGGTTTAGTTTTATATAGTTTCTCTTTCAAGTTGTCGAAAAAGGTGAGGGGGATTGGATGAAAGCCCACAAATATTTGAAACCAAAATCTTAAATCCATGTACAAAAGCGCCTCGATTGGCTTTCTGTCCACACCTCTGAGCTGTTGAGCTGGTGCAGAGGAAGCAGGAAGCGAGGAAAGCTCGAGGCCTGGGGTTGGAGTGGGGGGTGAAGGGACTGCATGAGAACGCACGGGTCACATTGCCAAGGAAACTGAGGCTCAGTGGACAGTGAGACTGACCCACAATGGACATGGTCATGCACACCTATAAGTCCAGCACTCAGGAGGCTGAGGCAGGAGGATCACTGCGGGTTTGAGGCCAGCTTGGGCTCCACAGTGAGTTCAAGGCCAGGATAAACTACATAGTGAGACCCTGTTTCAAAACAACAACCAAATAAACTGCCTAAGATCACTATGCTGTGTCCTAGGATGGCAATTCAGATCCTGGGACCCGCAGCTAGTGTATTTTCCACCATGGAGAATCTCAAAGGCCCGATGCACTCCCAAAACTTTTTTTTTTTTTACTATTTTAAGTTGTTTCCATTTTCATTCTTCATTGGTGTTGCACAACTATTGTGGAAGTTTTGGGACATCAAAGGCTGAAATCTAGCATGGGCTGGCTGTTATTTATTTTCCCTTTAGGAGTAAAATATTGCGGGAAAAAAAAGAATAAATTTTAAAATAAGCTACAAAATTGGATATGTGACTATTTATAACAAATTCCTGTCAGTGCCCACAGTGCATGTTTCCCAAGTTAAAAAAAAACAATAACAAAAAAAAAAACCCAAAAAAACCTTACCTGCAGATCTTTGCAGAAGATATCTTCTGTATGAAAGAAAACAGACAGATTAGTCTTCAAAATCACTTTTTTCCTCCCTCAAAGGAAAACATTTAGGTTAAGAGGCAAATAAATTATAAGCAAATTCATGAATGGGTCTAAGAGCATGCTGCACGTTAGAATTTACTGAAGCTTTTTCTGCTTGGACCAAATGAAGGATGGGTCAGCTCAGAGTGGAGTCTCTTTGTGAAGTGTTTTTACCACCAGAAAGAGGTTTACTGGTAAAAAACAAAATATCAGTCCAACCTTCCCGAGTCTTACAACCAAGAATCAGAGTGAGGAAGAGAGAAAATGCGAGGTAACATGCAGGGCAGGAAAAGAAGCTAAACTCTAGTTCAACTTCTATTTTGTCTGTTTCTCTGTCCATTTATTCATTTACCTATTTTTCTTTTTTTCTTTGAGATAGGGTCTTACACTGTAATTCAGGGTGGCCTTAAACTCACTTCATAGCCTAGGATGGCCTCAAACTAACAGCAACCCTCCTGCCTCAGCCTCCAGCATCCTGGGATTATAGGCACATGCCAACCAAGCCTGGCCCTCATTTACCTATTTTTGAGACACTATCTTGCCCAGGCTGACTTCAGACTCCTGGGTTCCAAATGATCCTCCTGCCTCAGCCTCTCAAGTAGCTGAGACTATATAGGCATGTACCACCATGGCTGGCTACAGGCCTGTATTTTTAAATATTCCTTTTATTAACCCAACTCCAATTATCTGGTATGGTGTAAACATTAAACAGAAAAAAAAGAAAGAACGTATTACTCCACCCCTGGAAAAGTGACAGACAACAGTTAGGATACCAGTTCAGAAGAAGTATGACAGATAAACTCACTGTTTAGAAGTGACGAGTTCGTGAGAAAAACATAGGTGGTTTGCTATGAAAGCTAACAACCTCCGATGTGTTGCTAATAAGTAGGTTTTTGCTATCATCACAAATTCTATCTGTGCACTGAACTGTGGCCTGCAGTTTCAGATCTTTCATCTCTGACCAAGGCAACTGTGGCTCTAACTGTACCCTGGCGGGAAGACTTAGCACCTAAATGCAGAGAGAGACACAAACCCGGGCCAAGGTGCCCAGCTGGCACACCTGCATAATTGCCCCCCATTATGGTAAAATTCCAGCTAGAACATTCTAGACCAGATGCAGTGGAAATCCCAACGATCTGGTGCAAGAGTAGGAACAGAGGATCCAGATCACAGAAAGGGGTGGCCCAAGTTTCCCACCCAGTCGCTGCCCACACCAAAGGTGACACCCAGCCAGTCCTGGCCTCCCAAACAGCAGGGTCTTAGTCTATTCCTGGGACCTTGTGGACTGCAAGGACCAGACTGCAGAGGATGAGAACAGGCCATGTGTGTTAGTCCATTCTCCCAGGGCTTGGAAAACAAGTGAGAAGTTAATAAGGTACTCACCTGCTCAGGTTGCTGGTGCACAGAGCCTGCTAATGAGTCCTGGTGAGATTGGGGGTGGGGGTGGAGCTCTGCCTGGGTCAGTTCAACTCCTCAAAAGTCAAACTGCCAATAATAACAGTAAGTGGCTAACATAACTCTGGGATTGCTAAATTACCTGGAGGGGAACTTACTCTATGCGAGGCACAACTATAAGGGCTCTGCATGGTTAAGTCATTTAATTATGGAATGATTGCTAGGGGGAGTGGCACATATGGGAGGCTGAGGCAGGAGGACTGCGGAGGGTTAGGCTACATAACAAGTTCAAGGCCAATCTCAACTACATTGTGAGACTGTCTCAAAAACAAACAAAAAAACTAAGGGATGACTAAGTCATACGTTATCTGTCACAGATGAGGGCACTGACAAACTGATGGGGTATTAGGGAAGTAGCCAAGGTCACAGGGTTTGGGCCCAGGCATTCTAGTTGCAGAACCTGACCTTATTCCACCAGTGCCCACCTGCTAATTGTACAGTGACACCTACTGGCCCCCTCAGACCACCAGCCTGTTTGCTGTTTCCTCTGCCTGCCTAGAAAGTGATTTCACCTTGGGTGTGGTGGTGCCTGCTGTAATCCCAGTATTTGGGAGGCTGAGGCAGGAGAATTGCTGTGAGTTCAAGGCCAGCTGGGGCTGTATAGTGATTCCCCGTCTCAAAAAAAAAAAGAAACAGGGGGTGGAGGGAGACTGGCTGAGACTTTGTGGCTCAGCTCAGTAAAGGAAGGAGGCAAGCTACCAAACAAGCAAGTTCCTTCACGGCGCAGCTCAGATCTAGCCCCCGGGGACACCTCCCCACTCCTTCCAAGCCGTCCCCAGGGTGGTCACTCACACCCCTCCCCAGCCCGTGTGACATCTACCAGAGCCACGGCCCAGGGTTACAGGTCAGCTCCTCCACCCAAGTCTGAGTCCTGTAAGGGTCATGGATGTCTTCTCCAGCTCCGCAGCACTGGGCCTGGCAGCGCTGGCTGCTCAGCATACACACAATGCGGGATGACCAGTGAACTAGTGAGTCCTCCAACACATCCACAAGGCAGGAAGATTAATTCCATGAGCCGCACACTGCCTCAGAGTCAAGCTGCATGCATGTGTGTGCACGTGTGTGTGCACACACACACAAGGAACCAGTTGTGGGGAGTGGAAATGGACTACAGGCTCCAGACTGTTTATTCTCATCATCAAGGAACAAGGTCAGAAGGAGGTCACCTTCACTCCCCAAACACTTCATTGCATGCAGTAAAATCAACACATAACAGAAAACACAGCCTCCTTGTAAAGGTGGACAGGGTGCGAGGTGCAGAGCAACTGCGTGCCTCATGAAATGTGGTCACTTCATCAAGGTTCCTGGCTGGAGGATCCAGAATGTAAGTCACACTGAGAAGATTTCCACCAGGGACTCGGGCTACACGGCCACACCACTGCGGAACAGGAGGTAAATGAGACACAGGAGCTCAGCTGTCACATGCTTTCCCGCCTGTGAGACACCCAGAATTACATAAATAAAGAGCAAAATAAGAGACAGATAATGCGAAAGAGAGAGATAGATTTTTTGCAAAAGGGAGGGAGACCAAGAGATGGAAGGAAAGGGAGAGGAGGGGAAGGGAAGGAGATGAACAGAGAATTAAGATGCACTGCATACCTGCACTGACTTCCCACAGGGAATGTGATCACTGCATACAGCAAATATGTACTAATAATATATTAAAAGTGAAAGCATATCCTAGCGGTCTTCATTACAGAGCAGATCTGAATGCTAAATGGCTAGAAACCACCTCCAAGTCTGGAGCAGCGACTGGCCGACACATTATGGTTCATCCGATGCACAGCAATGGCAAGAATAAGGGTTCCTGATAACTGCTAAATGGGAAACAGGATGTATCTATAGTGTGCGCAAATACATGCACATACGTGCACAGAAACATGCAAAAGGGCGAGGGAAAGCTGATTTCTGTGGTGGTGGCTCCCCTCTGTCTTCTACATCTGCTTATATATTATTACATTCATAAAGGAAAGGGGGTTTCTAAAAAATAACTAAAAGAACACAAATGCTCACTTTTTTCTAATTGGCCCTGACGAATGATGTTGATTTGTGCTCCTGATGAGATGGAGCTGAAGACTGAAACCTTTGGTCTTCATCCCAGCATCCTACAGCCAGGCTCTCTCAGCAGGAACCTGGCACCAGACTGCTCGGCATGGAGGGTCCCTGGCCAGACTCGAGTGACCAGAGCTGCTCTCCCAGCGGGTCTTGGGAGCTGAACCTGACCCACAGGGACCAGAGTGACCTTTTAGCTGAGCACAGCTTTGGGGACTGAGACCAGAGCTATCAAGAGACCACAGTGGATCCTGCCATGGAGGGACCCCAAGAAAGCCGGTCAGAGACACAGGGCAGATATTGCACTTTTTCATTGGCCCTAGGATGGACTATGGAGAAAGAAAACAGCATGGAGAAAGCACAGCTGCACCGGAACACAGCGTGTATGTTTGGTGGCTAAGATGCAGAGGAGCCCAGGATACAAACCCGTCTGGGGCCTGGCGCTCCCCCACCACACCTGCAGCACATTCCTCCACCCCCAAGGGTGTGGCTCAGCCAGGCTGGAGTTAGTTGTGGAACTGCGGTCACATCGAGAGTTCCCTCGCATATGTGGTCAACCAGGCAATGTCAAACTTGGGTTCCCTGAAATCGGTGGCCACTGTCAGGCAGTCCTGGCTGGAAACCGGTGGCGGGAATGTACACTTGTTTGGGACTTCCAAAGGAAAACACTTCTCTGAAATTTGAAGCAAGGAAAGTGAAACAAGCATTATGAGATCATTTACCTCTTTCCGAAGACACTTCTGGTACCCGCAGATGATGACTTCTGCTGTGTTGTGCAGAACGAGGAACACGGGCACGGCCTGAGAGAAAACAGTAATACCCATGAAAATACTTTCTCCAATCTCACAGTTACCCGATGTTGGGTTTTGCTTACACATCACGATCTGTGGAACCTTCGAATTCACATACATAACCTCTCCTACAAAGACCTTCGAGATGGGTGGGTGCGCTTTCCTGGTAGGGTGGGTGTCAAGGCTCTGTCCTGAGTTTCCCATCAGCGGACATTTATTAGGCACCTCGTGGGTAACAGGCACGGGGCCAGGCGCAAACACACCTGAGAAGAGCCCACCTGTGTGGAAGCGAAGCCCAGTGCCTGTGGAGAAGGGAAGGGAAAATCACACGCACAGCAGGGCAGCAGGTGTTGCAGGCCGGGCACCTGGGGGACTGCAGCGGGAGAGCAAGCCCCCGAGGAAGGGGAGGAGATGGTGAAGGGTGGAACAGAGTGATGGAGGAAGCCAGGGAGGTGGCCACAGGTGTGTCCAGGAGTGGGGACGGTGTTGCAGAGACAGGAGCCTCGAGGGGCTTGGAGGCCGACAGTGAGCTGCAAGCACAAAGCAGGCCAAGAGGGTCACATGCCCAGGCGCGTCACAGGCCGGAAATGGCTTCGAAAGTACCACGTCCTAACCCTCAGAGCCTGCGCAGGTGACCTTCTGGGAGAGAGGCCACTGTGAAGGGAGTGAATGGAGCGTCTCGAGGTGGGGAAATGACTGTGGATCATCCCATGGGTCCTGAGTACAATCTCGTACCCTTACGAGAGGGAGGCAGAGACTGGCGCGATGGGGCGCGAGCCCCAGAAGGTCAGCGGCCATTAGGGCTAGAAGAGGGGAGGAGCCTCTGACCTCCTGACACCTTGATGATTTCTACCCAGGGTGACTGACTCTGGACCTCAGGCGACCGGAACTGCGAGGGATGCATCTGTGTGCTTTCTGGCCGCCCAAGGACGTGGTCAGGTGCTGCAGTAGCCACAGGAAACACAGGTGACCAGATGGTGACCTGACCTCGGCAGCAGATGTGACCACAGAGAAAGTGGCCACTTTAACACTTAGGAGCCGGGGCTGAGGCAAACACTTGGGTAACTCAGAACAACTTTGCGCCAAAAAGAAAAAAGAAAAAGATGCCAAAAAATGGGGTACTCCAGTGGGTGACAGGACATGCGAGTGCTGCCACTGCACAATGGCTGAGGACAGTGGTCTCACCTGATGTGACAGGCAATCCGGGCAAGAAGAGTGAGGAGGGGAGGGGGCAGGGGATTCTGTCATCATCTTTGTTGCTGATGCCATAAAGATGTTTCATGGAAGGCAAAAAAATGATAAAAAATAAGAGCATAGAGCCAGGCATGGTGGCACATGCCAGTGATCCCAGCTACTCAGGAGGCGGAGGCAGGAAAATCACAAGTTCGAGGACAGCCTGGGCAACTTAGTGACTGACTCAAAATAAAAAGTAAAATAATAAGCTGGGTGTGATGGCTCAAACCTGTAATCCCAGCTCTCAGGAGGCTGGGGCAGGAGGATCACCACAACTTTGAGGCCATCTTGGGCTATGTGTTCAATGCCATCCTGAACTACACAGCGAGACCCCATTCCAAAAAAAACAAGAGTAAAAAAAACAAAAGGGCTGAGGCGGTGGTTCACTTGTTGTCCCTCGTACTACAGAAGGGAGGGGGAAACAAAAAACAAGGGCAAAGGTTTGTACCAGCCTAGACTTCTGGCTCTGGCTCTTCCATCTGCTGGTGGAGCCAGGAGTGAACCTTAACTGTGGTTTCCTCCCCTGTAGTATGGGGTTAGCAACACTACAAGCTTCAGCTGCTGCACAGAAAGACAGGAGTCAGGGGGTGAGGTCGGGATCCTCAGGATTCGGCCCAGAGGACTTTATCCGTAACTGGCAGCCCACCTCACCCGCTGCAGGACCATCCTGGGAAGGTGCTCTCTGGTTTAGAGCACCTACTAAGGAATATGACAGATTTCTTCTTGTCTTCTTTTTTTTGAACTCATGGCTTCTACAAAACCGTCCATTCCCAGACTTTTTTATTTTTTAAATTTTAAGATGGAGTCTCACTAAGTCACTAAATTGCCCAGGCTGGGTTCGATCCTCCTGCAATCCTCCTGCCTCAGCCTCCCAGTGCTGAGATTATAGACCGGCACCACCACACCTGGCTGCATTTGTTCTGTATCTTTAGGGAGGAACCGTATCTTTACTTTGCTCCACTTCTAAAACTCTGCAGGACTGTTCTGTTTCACTTCCCTGTTCCACCTCACATTGTTTTCTTTTTTAATTCTTGTGGTACGTTTTTCTTGCCTTTCCTAAAAAATATTTTCCACCTTTATCTTTCATTAAAAATTCAGTTTGAGCCAGGTGTGGTGGCGCATGCCTGTAATCCCAGCACTAGGGAGGCTGAGGCAGGAGGATCACTGAGTTCGAGACCAGCCTGGGCTACGTAGTGAGTTCCAGGTTAGTCTCAACTACATAGTGAGACCCTGTCTCAAAAAAAAAAAATCAGTTTGGGCTGGAAATGTGGCTTGGTGATACAGCACTTAGCATGTGCCAGCCCCTGGGTTGGCACCAGCCTCTAGCACCAAAAAAAAAAAGAAAAGAAAAAGTTCAACTCACACTGGTTTTTCTTTTAATCCTTCTGAAATAAGATTTCAATTCTTTTCACTTATCTCATCTTTATTTTACTTTTGAGATAGGGTCTCCACTACATAGCCCAGGCTGGCCTTGAACTCATGGTGATCCTCCTGCCTCAGCTTCCCGAGTGAAGATCAGACACCTGATCACAGGTGTCTGCTGCCACACTTTGCTGTCTTTCATTTTATTTATTTGAAATTTTTAATTTTTATGTGATTTAAGGCTATTGAAGGGAAAGGATCTGTTTTTAAAACTGGCTTCATTCATCAGGCCCTTGCTTGGCAGAACTGGGCCCAGGTCTTCTCATACTTGTTGTCCTTGGCTTGAGGGGACAGAAAGTCTGGGACAGGTGAGTCATGTGGTGCATGAAAGTGAGTATGAAAGGGTGACCAGGAGCTTATCAAATCACAGCTTATTTACAATGTCTTTTGCCTGCTGGCCATAAAATCAGTAATGAGATCAGATTTAAGATTGAGATTAGAGAACTCAAAACCTCAGTCTAGACATCAAGAAGGCTGAATGCTGTCAACTTTATGATCTGTGGACAGTTTTCTCATCTTCATAAAACCCACTCCGGGGCCGGGGATTTAGCTCAGTGGTTCCAGTGCCTGCCTCAGAAGCACAAGGACTGGAGTTTGATCCCCGGTGCCAAAAAACAAAAAACAAAACTCACTCCGATCACATTCTGGAAGAGGATCTACCTGTAGGCGTGGAATTGATCTTAAAGCACACATAATAGCTACCAATAACATGTTAAGCACGGTGCCAATTAATTTGTATTCTCTTGCTGAAACCCCATAGCACCACAGCACCAACCAATTCATCTTATCACTTAGAGGCACAATTTACAGCTAATTTTCCTTTAGAGTCCATTCAATAAAACTTAAGCATTTCATTCAGGTATCAATGAACTTTTTTCTGGCTATGCAGAGAAACACATTAGTCACTGTGACTTGGAGCTGTTTCATCATTCCCACAGTTCCCAGAAGGGAATTTGGAAGGCTCCATTGTTATTTGTTCAGGTGCGGGAACCTGCTTGGAGCAGTTTGGTCTGGAAACCCTAGCCCTGCCCACAGGCGTGGCCCTGGGGCCTCTGCAGGGGTGTGGCTGAATCTGAGTCAGGCACAAATTCTACAACAGGTCTGCCTATTAATTTTTGTGAAAGAACAGAAATTCTATCTTCTCTCTGGGTGATTTTCAAATGTGTAGGTTTGTCCTGAACCCATTATATGGAATAACTGCAGTCCAGGCCCTCATCACAATACGCAACCTTGGGTACTGCTGGCTGTTAGCCGTATCGAAATCACGATGCAAGCTAATGTTAGAAGGGGATCTGCCCACCTCAATGGAACCAAACAACCAGAGCCTGGTGCTTATCCCCGAGAACTGTGACTCCAAATGCATTAAGCACCCTGGACACTAAGTTGCTGCAATGTTTGTTATAAGGATGGTATTAAGCACCTGCCTCGTGGAGACCCCAAGTCTATCCTTCATGAAGACCCTGGAAAACTTCCCCTCAGGTCTGACGGCAAGCAAGAGCTTTGCTTTTCTCCAGCAAAGCCTCTGTTCTGATCTTCCATTCTATGTATATCCCCCCAAATGAACTACTCTTAGTACTCTCTAAGTAGAATTACACAGTATTTGCCTTTTTAATACTGCTGCATGTAACAAGATTTCCTTCCTTTTTAAGGCTGATAATATGTACACCAATTTTCTTTATTCATTTATCCTCTGATGGACAGCTGGGTTGTTTCTACCTGTTGACTGTTGTGAATAATGGTCAAATGAACATGGGTGCACAAAGACCCTTCACAACCTTGCTTTCAGTTCTGTGGGAGAAGGATACACGCCCAGAAGCAGAATTAATATAGACAGTACAGTTGGGGCTATGCGACCACTACCCTCCACTTACCTGAACTTGGGTAATGACCCAGGGTCAAGCTCCCTGACCTTACTCCTAAGGCCCACTACCTAGAAGCAAAAATAAGAATAACAAAGACCCCCGGAAACTCCAATATTTTACACCAGGATGCATGTGTGATAGACCTGCTGGCATGACCTACAAAGACCTTTCTTCACTCAGAGCCCATTACAGATTCATACATATAGACTGCATCCCATGCATCCGACTGTAACAGAGTAAATTATGGGAAAGGACATGTGCAGTGGATAAAACATGACTCAGTACCCTGTCAGTCACGTCAATCACACTCTGAAAAATCCAATGAGAGGCACCCTAAGCTGGTCACACATTTCAAATCTTTAAGCCTAACTTATTCCACTTTAGTGCCATTTTCCTTTCTACCAACACAAGGTCATTCTCTGCGAGCATAACTTCATCCTTAAAACTTCATTAAACTTAGCTGCATTTTCCTTACCGTTGCAAGCAATGTCC